AGGTGCCCCTTATATATCTAATATTTTATAAGTATAAAATTGGTACCTATTTAATTAGTTCAGATATAATGAAAGCTCAAGTAAAATAAACATATTTTCATATTTTACAACTATTCCCACATTTGATAATACAGAATTTGTAACAAAGTTCATTTCCACTATTTGCTGCATTTAGTTTTCTTTCTTTTTTTTTTTAAGATTTTATTTATTTATTCAAGAGAGACACAGAGAGGTAGAGACAGAGCAGAGGGAGAAGCAAGATTCAGACGAAAGAAAATAAAATTTCATGTAAATATTATCTTATTCTCCTCTCTCCTTTTCTCCCTTTATCTCTCTCTCTCTCTCATGAATCTTCTTGCCCATTTGTGCATCTAAAAAAAAGTAATCCTTCACTGGGGTAGTTGTAAATCAAAGATTTCTTCTGGACAGAAGAAGTTATGTCCATCTTTTTGATTTCCTAGGGAGCAGCAGAGGGCCCCATGTTCCATTTCTCTTCCACACTAAAGTCACTTGACTCTTGGCCCAGACGGGATGAGCAGCTCAGCAGAATCCCTGAATCACTGAGGGGTGACAGCTTCCCTCCTGGCCAGGTGCTAAGTGACGCTCTCATATAGGTTTTGTGGTTAGAAAACATGTGCTGGATAGAGAGGTAACCTGTCTGGGACTTCTGTCACTCCAAGGACCACCTACAGGGATCTGGTGATCAATGACTTGTTTGAATAACGTTTGTTAAATTGTTTAGCATATGTCTTCCTTTCAGTAGCTTCTATTACATTCATGAGGTTATTGCTCCTTTGCCCTCCAATTGTTCCCAAGCTGATTTTCATGTATGTTCTACATCCTTAATAAGAATGCCTGTTTTCTGCTGTTTCAGAATCAGCACGTTGTACAGCGCTGACTGTAAGCTGACACTTGCTAAATCATTGTTAAGAGAAGGATGGCCCGCAAGCATGCACTGTGGGCCTTGCACTCTTCAGGTCATCCTTAAGTGCTCAACACCACATGTTCCTCTACAAATAGAGCCCGACATGAACTGTGAGGATAGGAAGGCAGGTAAGGGAACCAGGAGTGGAGTGGAGCTGTCGTGGAGCTCAGACAGTTGGAGGAGATAAAGGGGGCAGTTCCCTTAATAGCATCAGAATCCCTACTGAATTTTCAAAGCCTTGTAAGCCAGCATTTTGGGTAAATATCCAATATACTTGTCACACAGTTATATAAAACAGACTTTTTTAAAGGAAGCGCTTTTAATACAGTAACTGTTTTTGTTTTTTTAAACCAATGGATTAAAAACTTAACACATTTACCAAATCTGGCATATTTATATATTGTATCTAAACAGATATTCAAGCTGCATTATAATATAATAATAAAAAAACCTATCTCAGTCTGTCTATTAAGTCTTTGTCTTTGTGCCATTGTAACAGTAGTGCTAATTATCAAGCAAAGACATGATAATTACGCAGAGCTTTTTTGCTAAAAGAAGGAATCTTTTTCAACACCCACGAGCTGCACAATTTCCTATGACCCTGTAACACTACTCTGGTATGGCCCAGAAATTTGTATTTTGGTCTGAATGCTAGGAATCATATTATTTCTCTTTCTTTGCCAATCTTTTTTTCTTGTCAGTAAACTGTTTTTGGAGGGTTAAGGGAGAGGGGTAATGGTCCAAACGGGAAATATAAAACTAATGACCCTTCATGAAACATATTATGCTCCTCATTAAACCTACTCAGTTAAACGTATTCCATTAAATTAAAATAAATAGGATTTAAAATTTTACCCAGGAGTAGTAAACTACCTTAACTCTCAACTTTGTGTTAGATTCATTCTAAGGATGGATTCCTCAAATCCCTGATGTATCCGAGGTTCTCAGCCTCCAACACAATTTATGTCTTTCTTTTTAGAGGGGGCAAGGGGCAGAGGGAGAGGGAGAGAGAGAATCTTAAGCTGGCTACAAACCCAGCACAGGGCCTGATGTGGGCCTCAATCTTACAACCCTGAAATTACGCCCTGAGCCGGGATCAAGAGTCAGAACAGCTGAGCCACCCAGGTGCCCCCAACACAATTTAGGTCTCAGTGCTGCAGAGGTTTTCAAACTTAGTGTATGTAAGAATTACTTGGGGGAATTTGTTATAAATGCAGCTTTCCAACCAGATTCCCTCTTTTCCACCAAGTATTTCAAGCATAGTGATTTTAGTGAGCTGCACTTTGAAAAATACTCTATGTGGGGGTGATGTAAATTTTATCAAGCTTATGGATCCCGCTTTACTTCTTCCTCATTTATGTTAGTGCTAAAGTGGAAAAGCGAAATAGGTGAAGAACGTGATTCAGGTAGTTGAGTAGGAGCAATTTATAACATATTCTGTTTATCCAAAGAATCAAGCCATCCCTAGGTTTGGTCTAGAAGCCCCAGACTGTCTTTTTTTGAGAGGTTCAGAGCTTTAATTCATTGATATAAAATACAAGATAATGGACCTACTATTTTACTCTCTTTTAAAACTACTGATTTTTAAATAATTGTGTTCCAAAGGACTTTCAAATTCAGTGCCTTCATTTCTAAGATGGGAACGCTTCAGCCCAGAGAAGTAGCTAACTTGTCACACACAGTAAGAATGTCCAAGACAAGGTCTCAAATACAAGTCCTCCGACCTGCAACCCAGTGTTCTCATGGCTCAGATACCCATCTGTCCAAGAATATGAAAATCTTTGGGCGCCTGGGTGGCTCAGCGGTTTAGCGCCTGCCTTCAGCCCAAGGTGTGACCCTGGAGACCTGGGATCGAGTCCCGCGTTGGGCTTCTTGTGGGGAGCCTGCTTCTCCCTCTGCCTATTTCTTTCTGTGTCTCTCATGAATAGATAAATAAAATCTTAAAAAAAAATGAAAGTCTTGAGATTGTGAAGTTCTCTGTCATCTTTATTTTTTTTAAAGATTTTTAAAAATTTATTCATTCACGAGAGACAGAGAGAGAGGCAGAGACATAGGCAGAGGGAGAAGCAGGCTCCCCACAAGGAGCCCAACGCGGGACTTGATCTCAGACTACGGGATCACGCCCTGGGCCGCAGGCAGATGTTCAACTGCTGAGTCACCCAGGTGTCCCTCTCTGTCATCTTTAAATCACACATTATATTCCTGACTAAAGCTCTCAGAAAATGAGTTTTCTAGATTCTTAAGCTCCTTTAAGAAAGTGAATTTGAAAAATCAACATATTTTTCACCTACTTTACTACGGTTCTACTGCATTTCACATCATGTTAAGAACTGGGCAGTTTAGGTGTAATGACAAATTCCAGCTCAACTCTGTAACCCTGCAATATCTGCTCTAATGGTTTTGGTAATGAGATGAAGTCCTGAGTATAGAGTTGTTTTGTGTTTGCGACTTATGTTAAATGTGTGTAAGTGCACAAGGACACAAACTCTCTCACACACACACACACACAAACACCTATGAGATTTGACAATCAATTCTGTTCATTCATGTTTGTCTAAGTACTTTCACAGATATATGTGTACATGAAATACATAGAAGGTAAGTATTATAAATGACCTTAAATTTCAAAATCAAGGCACACAATTAAAGTTATGTTAATGAAAAACTAAAGTGATGTTCAGTAAATGCAAATCTTCAAGTGTTCTAAACATATACCACATTGTCTACTTATTCACTTTTATTTCTCTGAAATTATTTGCGTGGCCTTATTAGGCCAAAAAAGGTGATTAGCTCAATTTATTTATTTTTTGTTTATTTATTTTTTAAGTAGGCTCCACACTCAGTGGGGAGTGCAAAGTGGGGCTTGGGCTCAACAACTCTGAGATCAAAGCTTGAGTTGAGATCCAGAGTCGAATGCTTAACTGACTGAGCTACCCAGGCACCCCAGCTCAGTACTTTTAAAAAACTTTCAAATAAAGGCAAAGAAATGAAAATTAGTCTTAGGCAACTATAATAGGTAAAAAGAAGATAAAAGCGAGAGACTGATTAATTTGGTCATGATTAGCGCTAAATTCTTTCATAATGTGGAAGAGTCTAAAGTAATGGCAGGAATAACTTGTACTCTGGCAAACTGATGCTGAATACATACTTCTGAAACATTTATTAATTTTACTTTAATTCTAGGAAAACAATCATAATCACAACCTATGTAACCTTGAGGAGACAGACAGGTGAGGGAAACAGACAGATGGGGACAGTCCTCAATGCACGTCTTTTTGGGTTTAGTATTCACTGCTTATGAAGGGTACAAAAGGCAGTAACATTTAAACAGGATACGAGCAGGAAGTGTTTAACTGTATGGCAATGCTACTTACGCTAATGAATCAAAAACATTTTTGAGTTTTAATGTGACGCTTATTTATTTCTGGCACAATAAAACATTTCAAATCTAACTTTGATAAAAACACCCAGCTAACATTTAGAAATTCCTTCTCATCATATTTCTGATTCCATGTATATTAACAATGCTACACTAAATGATATAATTGGGGGAAAAAACATTTCCAGCAGAATAATTGTCTTTACCCTTTCAGTAAGAATGCATTAGGAAGAATGAATTAGAAGAGACAAAGTGAAAAACTGAAGTAGAAGGCTGGGGTGAGTTCATTTTTAAATATATTTTTTTCTTTGACAATGCTGCGACACTAGTCTATGCCTAAAAATAACTCATCCAAAGTAATTGAAAGCCCTCTCTTGGCCACAATTCCTTAGTCTGGATCCTGATACGGTCGCAGGCAACAAAGATTCAAGGTGGATGAGGGCAATATGTTGACACTGGTGCCTGATTTCTAGCAAGGCCCAGATATACTTTGTCCCTATCACTGTATCACTCTAACTCGCTTTTGGCAGGAATAGAAAGGGTGGAGCACTGTTGGGGTGATGACCAGGGGAACATCTGAGGGGATACGTGGGAAAAGGAAGCGGTGTGTGCATGTGTGTGGAAGGGGGGGCGTCCAACCACCATGCGGCCCTGCCACTGGTGGGGAGGGTGCGCCAACCACACATGTGCTCTCACCTCCACGATGTCTGAGTTTGTCCGGCTCTCATGCGGCTCGTTGTACTCCGTGTACTTGAGCAGCACCTTGTCCATGTCGGTGCTCGCATACTGGAACAGCTTGTTGGTGCTGTTGAAGATGATCAGCGCGATCTCACAGTCACAGAGCACGCTCAGCTCATAAGCCTTCTTCATCAACCCAAATTTCCTCTTTGTAAATGTCACCTGGAAAAAAAAAAAACAGGCAGGTTTTTTTTTTTTTTTAAAGGAAAAGAAATAGCTTTTTTTTTTTTTTCAACAGTACTTCTTTTCCTTTGTGAAACAAAGTGTGTCGTTGTCAGAGCCCTTGGGCACTAGCACATTTGGAAAGAAAGCAAATAAATCTAAAACTAATTTCTGCTTAGAATTTGAAAAGTGTGATTTCTAGCTTGTTGCTGAATGTGAAACTGTAAATGCCAGATTTAATGTAGGGCATTTTAATGAAGGTGACCAGAGAACTATTCATGTTTTTTGGAGCAATTTAAGATTTGAGAAAATTAATTTCAGCATGGTTAACATCTTTCCCAATTATAAGTTTGGAGCTCATTTTTTGACCACGTGAAGACTGGACGTGACATTATGAACGCAGCATTTTAGACGTGTGTTCAGAAATTCTTTGTGTGTTCAAAACTTTTAAAAAATTGTTTAGTTTAATTGAAAACACTCGAAGGGATTAGACTGCTTTCAGACACTGCTGTATTCTGTTTTCCAGAAATAAGCAGAAAGTTGGGAAGTACTTTAGTCATAATACTGTTAGGGTTCTGTTTTCAATCTTTTGTGTATCTTTCTTCCTCTCTCAGGCCAGAAACTGTATTGTTATCTTTGCCTTTTTCTTCTTTTAATCTAATCTATTACCAAGTCCCATAATTCCTTCCCCTGAAATGTTTCTCAGGTTCACACTTTCTTGTCTATTTCCCAGGCGGCTCTATCATTACCATCCTTATCAGTTTCCTGTCCTAGATGATCTCCCTGTCTGAAATCATTCCCTCCTCAATTCATCCCCAATCTTCAAACTCACTCTTCCCACTGCCTTTCTCCTGATGAGCCGTCTGCAACAGCTCTGACTTTGAATACTTCCTACCTGGCAAGGCTACCAAATGAAAATAAAAATTTCACTATTCCCAATTTCATTCCTCTCTTGATTACACTCCAGTCTGCCCACCAAAATCCGTGGACATTGTTAACTGTAAGCCTGTATATGGTCCAGCATTTCCCAGCAGGTGTTCCGTGGAATATCATTTCCATAAAATACTCATGTCCCAAATGTATTGGGCCATTGAACTTTTTGTCCTGAGGCACACTGATATATTAAAGGCTGGAAAATCTTTTAAATTTTGTTTAACCTGCCACCCAAACCTATTGCTGATAGAATGTTTGTTTCCTTGCTTACTTATTTACTTAGAGGACCGACTACTATCATTTTCCAAAGCTAGATTTTTTGAGGCACATACTCTGGGAAATACTGATGAACCTAATTTAGGTGAAAACTTAAAATTTTTCTCACCCTCAAGACTAACCCATTTTGCAGAGGCCAGCCTAGTTTTATCTAATACCTATTTGTGTGTAATTTCCAAATCTAGATTCCCACTCCTCTTTTTTTTTTTTGTCTCCAGACACCCAAAGGATGTCTTCCAATCTTATGTCTATATGAACGTCCTAGGAGTTGCTTAAACCTCCAATGCTTAAGCTCATTATCTTCATCCTCAAATCTGTTCCCTCTTCTAGCTTGGCCATCTCACAGTAAACTCAGTCACCCAAACTAGAGACCTCAGAGTGAACTTTGAATCTTACCCTGTCCCACACACCTAAATAAAAGTGTTGACAGGAGCTGTGCGTGAGCAGACAAAAAATGTGACCTCCTGGTCAACTCAATCCTCCACACTTTGTTAATACTGTTTTACCTATCACCCTTTATTTTTCTTGACTAGCACTTATCACATTTCATAATTTGTATATTTTTGTGTGTGATCATTTGTTTAATGTCTGTCTCATCTACAGTGCATGTTTCAGAAAGCCATATGCCATTTTTATTTTGCTCGCTCTTGTATGCCCAGTTCTTGGAACAGCAGACACGTTTGGGCACATGGTAAAGATCTGCAGTATAAAAATGAAATAGGGAAAACTATTATGTGAGTTTTTAGAAATATCAAATTGATGTATGTCACCTAAAATTATGTGATAGCTTTTCACGTGAAATTTTTTTAGCAATTCCTAAGTAGAATTTTAAAAAGATAAATCTATACTTAACAATGATTATATTGTTTTACTACATTTGCATTAAAGGCAGCATGGTAGAAAGGGAACAACATGGGGCTTGGATTCAGAAGACCCCAGATTTGAATGCTAACCCTGTTATGTACTAGTCATGAGAAATTCATTTAACTTCTTTGAGTTGGATTTTTCATCTGTAAAACAGAGAAAACATCTACTCTTAGAGTTGCTGTGAGGACTGCATAAAATAAACAAATGTACAGTATTAAGTAAGCACGGTGCTTAACATTGAAGCTCAATAAACCCAGTCCCATCACTTCATTGATTTACGGAAAAGGAAGAACTTACAAAATATGTTTATGTTGCTGGCTTTGAAGAGGCTACTGATTAAGGCTATTTGAGGATCTCATTATTCCTAATACAAAGATAAAGCTGAAATATGGAATCCTCTCTGATCATTCTTTGGAAAATATGGTATTTATCAGCCCACATCAGCTATCAAGATCTACTCAGATATGCTATTTTACATTTCAACTTGGGACAATTTTTCTTTGTAATAATTGCCAATGTCTCACGTTTTGTTTTATGTTTATTGATTGTCTTTCTATGGTGTTTCTTTTTTTTTTTTCTCTATGGTGTTTCTAATAAAATATGCCCAGTGTTTTATTTTCATATCTTATTGTCACACTACTTAAGAAACTTTTTTATTCTAGTTTATTCAGATGAGTTATGATTGGTACTAATAATGAGTTAAATAAAGGCCATCTCCCTGGAATTGATAAAGAATCATAATAATTACATAGATTTACACCAAATGTCATTTAATATTTATTTTATATGCAATTTAGTTACCCGGATGTACTTGCACATTGGTATTTTATTTAGTGAAACAGTGTACAGAGTAGGTTCAATAAGAAGGCACTGGCCCAAAATACTTTCATATATCTAAAACCACTTTTAATCAGACTTTCATAACCACAAACTGTAGGTGGAATGTCTCAATACAGTATGGTTTCTGTTGTACTCAACCTCAGAATTTAGCACGTTACAACACTCACCATCAAAGTAAATTTCAGCACAGAAATATCATTAAAGCTACTATTTGTGTTTACTTTTAGGTACTCCTCAACTTTTGTGTAACCAAATAGGCTTCTGGATAATGCATACTTATTTAATAATACCTGTCAAAAAAGTCAGCGCATATAGCTTCTTTTCATTAAAACTGCAAACTGAAATGGTGCTGACTGTATTAAAGCATTTAAGAAAATATCTTCAAAATCTACTCTTAATTGCTCTAAATTTAATTCTGTATTATGTTCATACTCTTCACAGCATACTCAAAACGTATTTTATAATGCTTTTTCTCATTGTGCAGGGTTAGATAAAACTGTTTTTAAGCATTAAGCTTTCTAAAGAGACCTGGGATATTACTCTTCTTTAAAATATGCCACTCAATGACAAAGATTGCAATTCAGAGCTTTTATACTTAAATATAATAATGTATTGTAATGATTACATTTTTCATAACTTGACAATAATTTGTAATGGGGACAAGTCCATTTCTATTTAAATAACTTATTTTTAACCTTAGGTGAGATAGAAAACTGTTTTTATAGTAGTTAGCAAGGAGATGCTCTTTTCTACTGTTTACATCAATCAAGGTGCACTGACAAGAGAATAAATCTAGTATTGTTTAGTGGACATTATAACTCGACATTTTATTTCCAGAGTTAGAGACTTAATATGTAATATATGCATGGAAAGCAAAACTATTCTATAAACACTGACCATTTTATTTTTTTCCCTTTACTTCTTGAAACAGTCCCAAATATAATGACCATGTTGCAGTAAGAGATTTTAATATTAAGTTTTATAGTGACTTTGAGTTTTAAATCCTAGCATAAAGGGCAGGCATCACACATCCTATATTTATAATTACTCTAGAACATATTAGGTATAATCAGGAATTGAAATTAGAGTTTGAAATTGAGAAAAGACACATTCATTAAATACAGCTCCATACAACTTAGTTATAAAGAAAACTGGTAAACCTATTTACAGAAACAAAAATAATTCAAGGAATTTTTATTGAGCATTTTCTTTTTTTAAAGGTCCTATTTATTTAAGAGAGAGAGAGGGAGAGAGAGAGAGAGAGCAAAGCAGGGGGAGGGGCAGAGAGAGAGGGAGGAGCAGATTCCCCACTGAGCAGGGAGCCAGACATGGGACTTGATCCCAGGGCCCTGGGATCATGACCTGAGCCAAAGACAGCTGCTTAACTGACTGAGCCACCCAGGCACCCTTTATTAAGCATTTCCTATACAAATGCTAAGCAATATTTATTCATCATTCTCCATTTCAGACATTTGTGCTAGGTGCTGGGGTTTCTATTACACATATATCTCCCTTGTTCATGCCTCTTCCTCAGGGCTGGGGAAAAAATAGTCATTTAATTCATTAAAGCTTAAAAGCAATTTTCTTTATTTGAAGCAAAATGCATAGTGTTATACTTTCAGTTATGTGCAATGATCTGAAATTGTATTTTTATCTAGTTAGGTGAATTGTTTTTGTTTTCTGACCAACTTTTTCCCTAGACTGAACAAGAAAAATAACAGTAGATGTTAACCCAATCAAGATGAATATGAAATGAAACCTACCATATTGGTTATTTCTTGTCTTGTACTCAGTGAAAGCTGATTGTGATATTATGTCCCTCCCCCTTTCCATCTGGTTGCTGGCAGGCTCCCAATCAAGCTGAAAGGCTTAAATTAGTTTAAATGCCAATTTCTTCTATGAAGCTTTCATTGTTAAATTCAGATAAAACTCATTCCTCCCTCATTGTCGTCCTCTAAAACTTTTTATAAACTTTACTATGAGACTTACTCTAATATTATAGAGTTGGTTGTTTATGAGTCTGCCTCTCCTATTGGCTTTTGAGTTCCCCAAAGACCCCATCTGTGGCTTTATACAGACTGACC